GAATCATATGCTTTATGCTCTGCTTTATGCACAGAAATTGGCAGCAAGGCAGAATACTATGGTATTGAGCATGATCTGAGGCCTGAAGATATTGCTCAGAAGGTCAGAGCAGCAGAAGAGATGCTGAAGGACATCAGACTTCGAAGACCTTTCAACTTCCAGAGGCAACTTGCTGTTGAAGAGTCTGAAGCAGCTCAAGACTGTGAGTTCTTCTATTTATTTGGGCCCTCAGCAAGTCCTCTCTGATGTATCTCATCAGATGAGCAGATTCAACTTAGAGATACTCAGGCCCTAGAATATGTAGGATTTTCAAGGTGATACAGTGTATACCAGTGATGATGCCACTAATCAGCAGAAAAGCATGATGGCATTATTACTTTACCTTAAATATTTTATGAGAGAATTTCAGCTTCTGGATACCTTGAGATGCTTCAGTAAGCAAAATAAAAAATATTTATGGCAGGGATACGTTAAGTCTTCCTTCAGACAGCACAACACTTTTGTGCTAAATCATATGTTGAAGAGCTGGGAATACTGCTCAACAGTGTGTTGAGGTCAGCAGCAGTAAGGATAATCATGGAGAAGTTTAAAAGCTTAAAAACTGTTTGAGGCTGGGGATTGAAGACTGGTAATGTAGAAGTGCACAAGTTCATAACAAGCAAGCGTGTACTTGTAGAATGTATTACAGAGACTGAGAAAAAAGGAATTTAAGCATGTTAATCACTTCCCTCTTCTCTTAGTATTAAGGAAAGCTGAAAGTTGGGAACAGAAACATAATGAAACCAGGTCTTTGATTCCTGACATATTGGATCAGCTTGGGGAACACAACACCAAGCTCACAGACTTCCAAGAGGCTTTGCACCAAGTTATTGATGACATCAGAAAAACAGCCACTACAAATAACGAAAGCATTGCTAAACTCCAAGTGCATGAGGTACCATGCAGTCAATTGTTTCAAAATTGTTGTGCTTTATCATTTTTAACAGTGTAAAATATTGGCCCTAATCTGTCAAGATAATCTTTTTTATTATATGATCAATGATGTATGTACAGCTAAAGAAATAAAATCAGATACTGGGTGAATTCACCCTACCAAATGGCTGGGAGCCATCCAGAGTTTGATATAAGATGGGCGGTTTGTAAAAGTTTTATCAATAAATAGGTAAATGAATAATAGCCGGGATCACATAAACTGAGCTTCAAAAGGGAAATGTACTCATTTTCTGGTCTACAGTTGGGGAATGTGCTTATCACAACAAGATTTTATATTTTATGGATAAGTTCCAACCAGTTTTAAAGAATGTCCACATGTATGTCTTGTACTATATACATTCTTCTCATGTAAAAAGGAAAAGACCATTTGAATTACTTATGCTGTTTCAGAGAGGTTGGAGGAAGGATGTTGGGACAATAATAAAAATAAAAAGTACCAGTATCTTGAATTCTGTCTCAGTCAACACTAAAAAAAGATGGAACTTGCTCCCATATTGCAAGTTCTCCCCTTTATAGAGAAGTATCACACAATAGTTATCTCAAAATATTCACCATCAAAATGTTCTAACATTAGAATATTATTCAAAGACCTGTGCAATGTAAACTAAAGATATTTGAAGTGCAGAGGAGCATATACATTATACAATACTAAGTTTTTGTCTGCAACATATTAAAGCAGATGTATCTTTTCCCGGGATCACATAACAGACTAAGGTTTGCAGACTGGTACCTCATTTGCAGTTCTCCGTACACCTCTGAAGCATCTTTTAGAGACTGTATCCAAAGCACTGCACGACCCTTATTAATAAATATTAATGTTTTAGTAATGTTCATTATATTTGCTCTACTATCGTATCAATTGTGTTCAGTAAAGCATTTGTTAATTTTACTGTGGATCCAAACATCTAATTTACTCAAAATAATACAATAGTGATTAGCAAACAACCAACATATTTAAGGAATTATTGTCTTTTTCTTACAGAAGCAACAAGAAATATTGGAGGAAGATATTGACACTCTGAACAATACTCTAGGGATGGCCACTGACATTCTAGATGTTTCTCATGGAATCATCTTTGAAGTGAATGAAGCAATACAGGTGATTTTCTTTTTAAATAATACATCAAAATCTACTGTCTACCTAGTCCACAGAGTTTACATCTTTAGCTTTTAACACGATCTTCAGAATGCAGTTATATTAGCATCAACTTCAGCAAGACTTAGCAGATACTATGATTTACGATAGCAATAGCAATAGTCTTATATACGGCTTCACAGTGCTTTATAGCCCTCTCTAAGTGGTTTA